TGAAAACCGAGTTATACTCTTCCTGCGAGTATAAACCTAGAAGAAGGCGTAATTTTCAACCTAATGAGCAAAATAATGAATATTTTCATGCATGTTTTCCATGAAATATAATTGAATTTTTAAGGGCATCGAAAATCTTTGAAAAAAATGTATGCTACTAAAGTAGTCATTTTTCACGGAGAATAGTTTTTGCATGCAGCCGAAAGGAAGTTCATCTGAAAGCCGGCATCCTGAGATAACTGAATTATTATAGAATTATGCTGCATAATTATTCGTTTTACGACCCTACTAAATTAGTCTTTTCGAAACGAAAACGCATTTCGGACTTTCGGTTGACATTTCATTAGTTAGCCCACCTACTGCAAACCCACGTATTAATTATTCACCAATCAATATTCACCCTCGCCATCGAGGCTCTAGTTTACGGCAAGCGTGTCCGCCTCGAGTGTACTATATTGCCCAAGAATCCAGTCTGTCGGGTTTTTATTTCGGTTTTCTCTGTTCTCACCCTCGACAGGCTGATGATGAGAAAGAAGACGTTCTACCTACTGCGCGTGCCCCCACCCGTACGAACCTTTCGGGATGCTAAAACGCTGGATCCCACATCAGTGATCAAAATAGGCGAGCTTGCCCGATCTTAAAAAGCTAGCTTCAGTTAAGTCTCAGCCTTCCTGTGTTTTTGGCATATCGATGCATTGGTAGCACTGGAAAATCAGTCAATTTAAGCTAAAGTGGTTTAATTTTTTGGAATGACGGGACGAGTGTGTCCCATATCGCGACCGACCAGCGCTCCTCTGCCATTGTATGTACCCAATCGCAACCGACATGACAACCAGTCCCCGTGGCTCAGTAGTTAGGGCGTTGGACTTATAACCAATAGGCTGCGGGATCGAGCCTCGGAGAGTGCAGAGCCTGAGGTTGGGTATGGCTAGCTGATGACGGCTGACAGGCCAGAACGGATCATTCCAGTCTCCTTCCTTTTTGGTCAGCAGTCATTCCAATCCCGGTTTGCATGACCCTAACCAACGACCTCGAAGACAATAATCAGGGACTGGATTTACACATTGGCAGGCAAGCATACATTGGATGCTCAATACACAATTCGTCGCGTGAGCATGGGTACAGTCGATAGCTCACCGGCTGTCGACCACTTATACTGCAACCAGGCGTCGATATGACTCGGCGTTCGAACGACAAGGTCCGTCCTAGAGAAACTACCTAACCAAATATCGGGTGGACTGCGATCTTTGGGGTGACCGAAAAGAGACTAGTAGAAATACCTCTTCAAAAAAGACCGTTAACAGTTAATATAACTCCAAGTGGATCTTTGTGACGTCATTATCCAAGATGTGAGGACGTAACGCATGGAACTGACGTGCACTGTAATCGCTCATCTCTGGTGGAGATGGAGTCACAAAGCAAGCGGGATCCGATGGAGGGGGGTTTAATCAGAGTCCGAATCCACGTCGCACATCGTCTTGGCCTGGGACCAGGTTATGTCTGGCTGACGACGGTAAATGAGCCAGAACTGGCTATGTCAGTCTCATTCGTCTTTCGAGGTCATACTTCTCGACTGATTCGTCCACGATCAGGGTTAGCACAAAGCTCCCCCACCTCCCCGGCAGTCGCCCGGTCGCGAAAATTTCGCACTCCAGATTAGGGTTAGAAGTCCATAGGGCCCGCAACCATATAGGAATGCCTAAACGGGACGTGAATACTAAATTAGCGCGTGGCAATCTGGTACTTCTGTATCAGAGCAGACGTCTGGAGCAAGTGCATTTACGCTCGGGTCCTCCATACTCATTTCTTTGCATTTGGGACGGCAGTTGCCACTACCGACGAGGCTGACCGCAAGCTGAAACTTCACGGCACCATTAATGCCCCTCTCCCCTGGGTGCAGTTAGTCGGCGTAGGTCTCGAGGGAATTTGAACCAGACCTTTTTTAGGCTGGAAATCGGTACTTAAGCAGAAAATGTGTTCATACAGCACGCCTGGCTAAAACTCGACTGGGTAAGTAAATTGAACAAGGGACCATAAGGTGGTGATTGAAATCGCACCGGAACTAATTGTGTGTGTGCTCGAGTTCTGCACAAGAACCCCGCTGGTTGGCAAGCGCTCAACTGCAAATGCAGTTCGAAGAATTCCATGCTTGACAATATTGCACGACCTAGTTCAAACTACGCACAAGACTGGTTGTCGCACTAGGTTCCTACGAGCTGGATCGGGTTTAGGATGCAATTGGGTAAACAGGCAAATAAAGTTGACGGCCACAGGTCCTAAAAACAGGCTGGCTCGTGCCACTGGACCAAAACTACGGTCGCATATGCGTGTGGCACGCACACTAGGAATCTGACCGGCTCGAACAGTGGCTGGGGCCTGAGAATGAGAATAGTGTGAGATCGACGACTCAGTGCACCCTCCTCACTATAAGCAATCTGACGCGCTTGGAGTCATCACGGTACGCTAGAGGCAGTGACTTGGAAGGCGACCAATTGACGGCATAACTCAGATGTCACAGTCAGCCTAGTGTGTTTGCGTGAAGTGACAGACTGGCAGTCAGGCTTCAATGGGTTCTGTGGCACTCCCACCTAGTGAGATTTGAGCCGGGTGTGACAGCACCCCTAGGGGCGGCTTAGGTCGCGCCAGCCACCTGTGACCTCCCCACCTCCGGTCTCCTTGACAGCCGCCCAGGTGGGGAGGCAGCGAGGCAGACGCTGCGCAAGTCCACATCCATTATGAACTAACCCACGCGCAAGTCACCGCCCCTGCTAACACCCTACTGTTGAGCATACGGTGGACATCACCGAAATCAACAGACGATGTGTCAGGCACGCGTCGGATCCAAGCTTATGAGACGTCAGTTACCATGCCCAACCACATCTCCTGTCGGCTTGATACGACGAAGGGGGAGCGATCAGACTCGCTATAAACAGTCAAAAGGTCTTTAAACTGTCAGTGGACGCTAACGCCATGACTCGAAAGGTTGAAAATCGGTGGGATAACTCGATCCGCACGTGGGCTAAAGGTCAGGCCGCAACAGACACTCCCTAAGGTGGTGTTTAGGGCAGCTCTCATCCGCGCGAGCTCCGAGAAGCCCACTCCTGGTTTGTGGGCGTCCCCGGACCAGCGCGTATGACACGACCTGTGCGGGCCGAATTACATTACACTCAGGCCAATCTCTAGTGGTCTTGACTGTCATGTCCTCTGAACTTTGAGTATGGGATGTGAAGGTGAGGCAGGTGCTCCGTAAGTCACCCTCATAAACCAATTCACAGGGATGCCGACGGTACCCCTTAGAAGTAGTAGTGAGCCCTGCTGATGATAGTGGACGTACTACCGTTTTCCACATTGATGGCAAGTGGGCCACCCCGCCACCTTCGCAAGAGTCTGCATAAAGGCGGCCCCGGTCCCTCCTAACAGTCTGTCCAGGTTTTAAGCTGGCAACTCTTTCTGAGGACGAGCAGGCAGGCCGAAGCCAGTCCACCCGGTGACCAGTTAAGTCAGAGCCAACAGGACGTTTATATGATAAAGTAAAACGAAACTGTTGACAAAGCGTACTCAAACGTTCTTGTCAGAAATTCAGAAGCAGAGGATGGAGGAGAGACAGCAGACACTTAGAACTCCCCGTCTGCAACGCAAACTGTGTGGAAAGGTGCGTCAGAAACGCAGTGTGGCGCGGAAGCCAACGCCTTAGCAGTACCAGTGAATTTTGACGTTAAGAAATCTCCGCGTTGTTCATTAGCGGAGATTGTGTGAGCATTCGCGTCCATATCTTAAAGAACTGTGCCGAGACGGACTTCGGACTGATTACCTGGTTAGTGGCAGTGCGCTCATTAGGTGGTGAGACGAAGGGCGCGTCCAAGCCCTCTTGGCTGCAGACCGCCCCCTAGTTAATGAAACGCGCGGCAGGTAACCCCTCGTCTCCACAACCTCAGCAACCCAGCCAACTTAGTTTATGCGGGGAAGTGGCGAGGGTGATTACGACTACCGGCAGGTCCCGGATGTACGAGACGGCGAAGCGATCTCCCGTCCACTTATTTTCATGTCAATATGGCTGGATTTGTGCGAACGCATTCGGCCGTGTCAGGTAGATTGTTCGCAGTACGCAATCCCTTCCGCTGGCCCGTTTCGCGGAACTACATGGAGACTGGGGTTGTACATTGTACATTGATGTAGACTAGACAACTCGAAGAGATCGGAATGCGTTGGCCACTCGGGCCTTCCTTAGTCTGATAACTGTGTCCAGCCGCGCACGTAACAAGTTGAACAAACAGCCAGAACCAATCTTGCTGAGACACCACAACAGAACCGACGCCGAATTCGGGGGGTGGGGGAGGGGGGAATAGGGCATAATTTTGACTTCGATTGGTGTGCATGACAATCACTTTTTTATCGAACGCCAGTGTAAGAGCTTGACGGTCCGTGATAACCGCGAACGGCGTAACACCGATAAAGGACCGTTCGAAGCAAATAACAAACGCAAATAATATCACTAATGGGGGTTCTCATAAGAGAACAGAACACAGAACAACACTATCAGTACTCTGGTATAGGCAAAGTAATAGGTCATTTGGATAGCCGCTGTGTTTCAGGAATGCAGTATTGTAGTCGCAATTGCCAACCCTGACAGAGCAATCTGACCCGGACCGAAACGATCTTAGAACGGAGGAGTAAGACGAATAAACCAAGTCAATATAATTTGTTGAAAACAACACGCAACATGTGTGAAGAGTACACTGTTAAAAATCATACAGGCAATATCGGTATGCACGCATGCCGAAAGAGTCCGTCGAAGTAATTGTGCTGGGAGATCGCCCGGTTATCGCATATACATGATTTAGGCATTAAAAATAAGGAATACCTCGATGAACTAGTGGCAAACAAAAGAACGAACGTAGATCCTCAAGCGATACTGGGGAAAGTTTAAGGGACGAGGCATTTCACAAGCGCAGGAGCGTTTTCGACGGAATGAGTTGTCTAGTGGATGCTGACAGAGAGACTCAATCGCTCTTTAGTGCAGAATCGATCACAGCGTCCTTAGCTTTCCTGGTAGCTAAAATGAAAAATGGGAACAGTGAACGACAACCCGCTTAGAAAAGCTTTAAGGTTGCGTGCGCATAAAAAAATTCGCCGTAGATGGAGGCTCCTAGTTGAGTTCGAAATAGTGCACCCCCTAAAACCCGAAAAGACTACCGAGGCAAAATCGACTAGCCAGAAGACAACGAGTCTTGTGAAGAAACAAAGTCAGAATTATGGTGAGGGAGGAGCAGAAATTGGTTGCGGTGACTAGACGTGTGTCAGCGCACGAGGGAGGACGGCACGCGCAAATAAAAAAACACGGTGCGAAATTTGCAAACAAGGGACCACACTCGAGTTCGAGTACGGGCTGCAGTGACACTAGGTGGGCCTAGTTTTTTTTCTAAACTCACGGATTAGGTAAAGAATGTTATTTGGGAGATCTAAGATCATTTCTAGGGAGACCTGAAATTTCAGAGAAGCTAGTTTGTGCCCATAGGCAAGGCGGGCTTAACTGAAAAAAAAACCTTGTGTTGGGCGATTAATCATTTGGGGGCTAACAAATGCAACGCCACTATGGTCTGGCGCACCGGCCACCCACAAAGTAAATCAGATAGTATACGGAGTGACCACAACCAGTGGACCCACGAAATCCGAAGTCACTATTATCCCGGAAGGATCCTAACAAGCACCATACATGAGTTTCGGGGTCACTCAATCAAGTCAATCAAATAAATTTAGGTAAACACGCAATTTACCCTTTTTGGCGAAGTCTCCGGCTTCATCCATGACGTCGTCAATTCTTTTTTCGTACTTGGAAATCAGTGGTTGGAGCACGTTGTTGTACAGCATACATGAGCCGTTGAGAGGTCCCGGCAGCATCAAGAAAATCAGAAACATGCACTACAACGGATGGCGGGGATCTCAAATTACTGGGCATATCATGACGGGAACAGAAAAGTTCAAACAAGCAAATTAGATGACGTTACGTTCATCACACTAAATGGTGTAAAACGATACCATTTGGACTGAATTTCACATAGGTTACGCTGGACTAAGAAACGCTTAATCTGGGAAAAAAGCTCCAATGTTGTGTATGGGGAGAAAAATCATCGAACGAAATCATCGACTACGCTGCCGCAGGAGACCAAGTAGACGACACACTAACCTTCATAAATGCGTAGAGAGGAATCCAGAACAGAAGAATGTCCGTGAAGAACTCAATCAAACTGAAGAAGGCATACACGACCCAGTAAGTTAACCACTTGGTGTCATCATCCTTGGCAGGGGATTCAATTGCTTTAATCCTAAGAAATCGTACTAAGAACTGAACGCAACTAACGAATAGTATGCAGGGTAAAGGAAGCCGATAAGATTGGCCAGGAAAGTAGCACCATAGCCGATCATCAGATACAACCCGACGAGGCTCGCAAGTCCTGCAGAAAATACAAGTAGAATGTGCACCTACCAAGAACTTGATAGATTTTGGGAACTTTCGTCTTAGCTTGAATTTTATCGAGCACTTCAGTGAAGGCATTTTTCTCATCGAGCTTTTTCTGAAGCTGATCCTTGAGTTCGACAAAAGAATTCATGGCAGTTGTCACAACAGGAACCAAGCCACGCGCTGAAAGTTTGCCGCTCTACTCACTAAAAGGAAAACGCGGCAGTTCACTCAAACCAGATCAAGTTCAAAAAGGTAATGCTTTATTGCATTGTCTGCATCAGGTCATTTCTCCTTGCGTAAAAACCCAAACAAACTATGGTAAGGGGTCAGTCCCGATCAGTAGGCTTTGGGTTTCTGGTTGCTAAATTTGAGATGTTTTACTCGGCGTATTTTCTTAGTAAACTGGCAGACATCAACGGTGGGAGATTCTCGATTTGTTAATAAGAATTCATTCCTGTTGTCACGAAGTATTAGAACATCTTTTCGCAAGGATTTTCAACGAGGTCAATGGAAATTTAAAAGTATAATTTTGGTCTATGTATAATGACTACGGTGGAATCGTAACCTGAGCAATTCGTCCACACTCTCACGCTGAAAGGTAAGATAAGAACTGGTGAAAGAATGTAACAGATAAAGCGGAATCGTGTAAAGCAAGGCAACAAGAAAAAATAGCACAAATGTGCCAAAATTCAGGTTTATAAAGAAGTTTCTCCATACGAATTTGAAAGATCAGCCTTGAAATGGCCACTCGTTGGTGAAAAAAATACGATTTAGTCTATCCCAGAGTCTCGATTGAAGCAACCCACAAAGATGTTATGCGAATAGGAAGAACGAAACAAGGATTATTATTTCCCCTCGTCGGAGGTACTGATAAGGTTCCGGAGGGATGTTCTGTCGGCGAAACCCGTCGCAATGAAGCCTTGGCCTTGTGGGCCAGACGTTCATCGAAGGTCATCTCCACAAATGTACAAAGTCTGTTGAACAAACTCTATGAGCCTATAAAACTGATGGATGAAACGGAACTAGATATCGTGACTTTCACATAATCGTGGCCGTTAGTAGATATAAGCGAATCCAAAATACCACTGAGGGACTATCACCACCTCAGAAGAAATAAACCAAGCAGAGGATAAAGAGGAGGAGGAGGAGGAGGAGTCGTAGTTTATGTCACTTCCAAGTTAACCGTCATCATTAAAAGTAGATGACCCAGTACAGGAAGAGGCACTGTTAGGCGTCGCCATTTCTACTAACTATATCTGGCCGTCAACGCTATCGGTCGCATGCCTGTCACCTAGCCAGTAGCCTGATGTTGATATTCTCATATCTGGACTCTACAGTCGGTGAGGAGAAAGAAATTGTTATCGCTGATAATTTTAATTCTCCTGACATTAATTAGAAAAAGTGAACCACACTGGGGCAAAGGACAAACTTCTCTGTTAGGATGCTACGGTCAGCACAAGTGAACGGACAACAATTGAACGGCCTTGATCTTATTTCTGCTTGGAGGTGGAAAATGCGCCTGACTTACAGTCGACCGCCAGTAGGATTAAGCGATCGCTTCGCGCTACACTTTCAGTTCTCAATGTTTCCTAAACCGCATTTGCTTAATAATTGGGACAAGATAATCCGGGTGGGAGACTATTTGCTTTCGAGAAGACAAGTGCCAATGGTGCCATAAAAAAAAACTTAATTTCATGGCAAACCAAATGATCATTGGAGGACTTTCATTTCGTTGCTGCGAAGGACTGTTGACGTCAACTGTCCTCTCGGAGGTAGGACAACCACTAACCGCCAAATACCGATGAATTCTGGATTGCCTGTCTCTTTGAAAAAGTAATTTCTTCAGGAAACGCCATAAACTAACTGTCACAGAGGAGCAGTTACGGGACTGCATGCATCGACGGATCACTTGCAAAAGCGAGTCTATTAGGTTTCGAAATATACTCCAAATGAACATATTGCGAACGTCGCTAAAACACTCCAAAACCTCATACGGAAACGCACAGAGCCCTAGAGAGAGCTGGACTATTTCACTGTCCTTGAGTTTCCAGATGTAGCACTTGTGACTGGTGATCAAGGTGAAGCATCCATTCTTCCTAATTTTTTCAATCGACCTCCATTATACAGTGTATTTTTGCCTTCTCTTCCACTCACTCGCCAGCAAATTTTCACTTCGCTTTCCTCAAAGAAGGAATTGTTCTTTTGGTCAGCGCTAGTTGGAGCGGAAGTGCTTCGATTGAAACCTGCCAGATCGCCGGGCCTGGACTGAAAACCTGCATTCACATTTCAAATATTGCTAATGAAATTTGTGAACAATTATTTCAGAAGTCTTTTGGCGAAGGCGAATGCCCCGAGGAATATGGGGGTACATTTATGAGCCCGATTTACGGGGGAGGATCACAAGCAGACCCCGAAAATTACCGTCCTGTCAGTTTGACAGATATTTCGTATAAAATAATGGACAGCATCAAAAAGCATATAATGGATTATCTGAAGACGAACAAAAAACTGTATCATGCCCAGAATAGCTTTCATCGAGGACGCTCTTGCCTCACCAGTGTTGTTTACTCGTATGAGGAATGGACAAAGGCCGCAAACAAGAGCTAATAAGCGGATGCTACTATTTTACTTCCCGAAGGTCTTTAACAGCGTTCCACATTGAATTCTTTTGTAAAAACAAAGCGTTCAAAGGGATCGAAAATTTCCTGTTTCCCAGAATACAAAGAGTTAGTCTTGGCAGCTCAACTTAAGAATGAGTGAGGGTTGAATGTGATATCACGTAAGCTTCTGTGTGGGTTCCGCTACTTTTCATGATGTATGTGGATGACTGCACTGGCCATGCCTGCTCGCTGGTGTCGGATGACTTCTTTGGGTTCGCAAGCGATTCTAAAAAGATGAAACTTTTGTAAGAGTCACCTACGAAGTGCATTATTAAACACCTTGAGGTCGAAAAGCCGCACCCACTGGACGGCCCTGTTCTATGGCTTTTGTCCATCTTCCCTTCAAGTGACGCGACTAGGAGTGTATGAGTGACTACGGAGGGAGTCTTGTTGGTTAGTATATACTCGTTCCACGACACTATAAAAAGTGCAACTTAGAACAATGGCACGGTGGTTTTGCGACTTCAGCCTAGACCCTACTTTGTAGATGGGAAATTTAAAGGCAGACTGCCGTTCTCACCGTTCATATTCTCCCTTGACTTTTTGAATATCGTCGATATCGATTCACATAATACGTCAACCAGTTCTCGAATGGGAAGGGTAGATTCAGCCGAAACCAGGAGACTCGTCATTATCGATGTAGGCGAGAAGTGACGATCATTTTATACCGCAAACGATATAGAGTAATGTCTTTGTTTTGGGTGGAGGGAAGAGGGGAATTTGGCTCATTAGTAGATGTTGACTGAAAAAAACCCACGGAGGACTGATAATTTTGCGTCAATCATCCGTTTTCACTGTTCCGTTTCCGGACCTCAGTATTGGGATCGGATCACGATTTATGCTGTTATTATATATACAACTGCATAGGGCCTTGTGGTTTTCCAGCCGGTTCCGCAACATGTTTCGCTTATTGTTCCTCCGGTGTCCACTAGCCCCATGTTTTCAGGCGCCCCACCGTTGTCTGTATTCTCGCAAATGTTCGATACTTTTAAAGGTTGTCTGAAGTGCCCGGGCCATCTATATCGCATGGTCACTTGTACTTTTCCTCTGAGTGGACAAGCGAGATCAATGATTACTTTGGCTAACGAACTAAACGTGCTCCAGTATTCGCTGACTGTTCCTCACAATGTGGTTGGCCACGGAATTCCCAAGACTCGTCTTCGCATGCTGGAGAAATCTTCCTTCCAGATGCTATCTTTCCACAGTTTAAGTGATTTAAGTTAAGAGGACGTAAAATAATCAAAATGTACTGAAATACGATAACTGGGACCTAATGACGGGAGATATTAGAGATCTAGCACACTCTCTTCCTCCCGAGTGAACGTTCTCTTTCCCTAACATGCGTTGCGAAATTCGCGTTCTCGCAGAGTAAGTTTTCGGCTGTACCCTCGAGCAAATGATGACCCAAATGATGGACCCAAAACTTTCCAAGCTTACCTGTTGATGTTGACAGCGTTAGCCTCCAGCAATAAGGATAGCCTTGTTAAAGCACGTCGTGACCAGCTTCTTTGGGAGGAAGATATCGCGTCCAACAATTTAGTGCGTGGGACGGTATGCAACCCCAAATATTAGTGGTTAGGCGAACTTACTGGAGATAAGTAAAGATAAAAATTTCACTCCCAATGTCATTAGGCTTGGCTAAGAGACTGCGTCTAAACTGCAGTGAACACACACCGCGCCCCATTCTCCCCGGCGTCTTCGGCTTCGTCGGATGTGTTGATAACCTCTGATGCATATTTCATGCCTTTTAGTAAATTCAGCAAGTCAGTTTTCTGTTGAAACAGTGATATGTGGTGCGTGTTCATTGACTAAAGTCGTGAGTTAATTCATTGTGCTGAACTGCCTTTGTACATTTGAGTACATTACCTTCAGTGCCGTATATTCGGTGGAGCCGCGCGCTAACTATAAAAGGCTTCAGTCACGAGCATGATCACCTGGTCAGTTTTATATTTCCCTCCCTTGTTTAGACTATTTTCTTCCTTTTCTGTCCTATTCTTCTGTTTTTTCCAAACTTCCCTCAACTTGTGCCCTTCTATCGGTGCGTGATCTGACTGAAAAAACTCCTTGACGTGCGAATGTCAGAAAGTCATTATCCCTTTTAGGAGGTGTGAAGATCGAACTCAGTTTTCGGAAATGACTTTGAGAAACCAGCTTATGCGATGCATCTGCTTTACCTTGGGGAAAAGCTTTGGGCACAGCAATAGACTCTCCACCCCGAAGGACAGCATCCGAATATTCTCGGAAAAGATCAAGGTCGTGTTCGGTCCCTTCCTTGGTAATCGACGGACTGGACTAAGGAGGCCCCTTTATGACGGTTGTGCATTTTCGGTCAAGATTTCTGTTTGTGGATTTGGTGTTTTGATATGCTGGTAGAGCTTCTACAATGGGAATAATTATATCCTCACGAGCGTTTTTATTTACGTCCTCACTAACTCCACTTCCTAAAGGTAATAGCGAACCAGCACCGGGTTCCGTCCGAATGTCCACC